ATTAAAGTTTGCATACTAGAGATGCAAGAAACAAACTAATGTATAGTAAAGAAAGGGTTTTATATAATTTTTTTGTTTTGTCGTCATTTTTGAATGATTTAAAAGCATAAGAAAGTTAATTGCTTTGATAAAAAAAGTTAAATACAAAAAGATAAATAAGATAAAAACTTTGGACCATAGGCTAAACTATCACAAAAATGATTAACAATCAAACAACAATGCCACAACTTGAACTAAATACTATCCTAGAATATGGAGCTCAATAATATAATATGATCATAAACTTCCGTTTGCAATTAGATAATTAATGAACATTAACCAATAAGTCCAATTAGTTCACTAAACACTCTAATTATCAATAGCTAATTGGCTAGAATATCTAAAGCTCACAAAAAGTTTGGTTAAAACATTTTAACAAATATTTTCCAAAAGAGAAAGTATGGATTATGGGCAAAGGTAATTGATTCAGGATGACTAATAATTAATTAATGATGCTAGAACAAACAAGCATGCTAAATTACATGGCATAAATAACACACAATAGACTAATTCATTTATATTTACTAATCATTTAATTAGGCTAATCTTTCAATTGCAATTAAGAGAACAATAATCATTAAACATAAGTCCATAATGTCAACTAATCACCTTAAACATCAATAGCATGAAGAAACACATCTAAGATTTGTCTAGACATTTCATCGACATGTATGAAATGTACTTGTTAAAGAATTTGATTATCTAAGTCAAATTTAGCCTTAAACACCTCTTAAACATTAGAAATCACACTAAATATTAATTCCGTAGCGATTCAATTGTTCACCGGTTTCCAGATTTTTGTCGGTTATAACCGATTTTGTTTTAATGTTAACCCAACACATATATGTATTCGGTTCACATTTAATCTGCTTAGACCGTTGATATGGTCTAGTATTAAAAACACTGATTAAGATTAATTCAAAGCAAGTTAACCATGTTTGATTTTTAGAAAATATTATTTGTCATGTAAAGTAAAACTCAATGTCTTGATTCAAAGGCTAAACTTCTTTGAAAAAACTGGTTGCTAGCTAATATCATCAGTTTATATCAAATGGTTAAACTTTATATATTCAAATT